GGATGGGACACTGTCAAATGGACCCGGAGTTAGGAGTGTGGAAAGACACAGGATGGCAGAAGAGAAGTTTAACTGGATGTAACTGGGGAGTGGGGGCATCGTGCATCTTTATTGTACAGAATCCCTAATGATTTTGTCCTTTTGTTGTTGTTTTGAGATGTGGGTCTCACACTGTACGTCATGCTGACCTTAAACTCATGGGAATCCTACTGCCTCTGCCTTCAAATATATGGATTATAGGTGTGCTCCCTTATGCCCAGTTGTTCTCCTCCCTTTAAAAATGATTGAGGAAGCAGGGAATTGGGGGCACACGTCTTTAATCCTAGCACTAGGGAGGCAGAGTCAGGCGGATGGATCTCTGTGAGTTCAAGACCAGCCTGGTCTACACAGCAAGTGCCAGGATCAGCTCTAAAGCTACACAGAGAAACCCTATCTCAAACCTCCTCCCAAAACTGATTGAGGAGTATGTGAATATGACCATCTTTTATTGCACACAGTTTGAAGTTATCAAGAGTGGGGCTGAAGAGCGGCTCAGCAGTTAAGGAGCTGCTCTTCCACAGGACCTGGGTTTGGTTCCCAGCAGCCACAAGGTGACTCAAAATTGTCGCTAACCCAAGTCACACGGTTTCAACGCCTTCTTATGGTCTCCAAAGGCACCAGGCAAGGATGTGGTGCACAGACACAAGTGCAGACAAACCACCCAAACACATAAAAAGAGTTTGATTAACGTGAAAGAGATTCCAGCTGAGTGGTGTGGGGACGTGCCTGTAATCCCAGCACTCAGGAGGCAAAGCAGGTGAGCTTCTAGATTCAAGGCCAGTGGTGCACAGAGCAGTTCCAGGACAGCTAGGGCCACTCAGAGAAACCCTGTCTTGAAAAACCAAAAGAAATCAATCAATCAATCCTCAAAAAAATTATTATAAAAAATAAAATGATATATAAGAACAATAAGATGAGTTGGGTATAATGCTCAGTGGTGTAATAGAACACTTGCTTGGAATGCATGAGGCTCTGGCTTCAAACCCTAGTTCTGCAATAAATACATAAATAAATAAACAGAATTGTAGTTGTCTTTGAGCTATAGTGTTTGATTGGCAGCTGTCAAACCCTTCCAACACAGCCTTAATAGCTGTTTCAGGAAATAGAACCCAACAACTGCCAGGTGGGGTGAGTTGGTGGGGGGAGTTGTAAACATTATTGCAGTAGCCCCTGCAGATCCTGCAGCAACTGTAAATCCAGCACCCCATTTGCACAGAGTGAGGCAGCCTACTTAAGTCAACACTAAATGACCCCACCTAGGAACATCATAGGCTGTCCCTGCTTGGGAGGAGCACCTTTCAGAGACACAGGATCCCTGGGGCAGCCATCACTAAAGCAGTCTCCCAGGGTAAAGGGAGACTGTGGCTGTCTGTGGTGGTGACAGCAGAGCAATGCCAAGGCAATAATGAAGTCTTCTCTGTGCATCTGAACCTCAAGAAGTTTCCACAGACTGTCCGAGACTGGATTGGAGGTTTTCGAGCATCTGTGAGATTTGCTGTCCAGACAGTTGTGGCTGTCATGTTGACAACTGGAAGAGGTAGCTGTTTGATTAGCAGCTGTCTCACTTTTTAATTCCATGAGGTTGTATTTGTCAATAATGTGTTTCCTGAGCAACTGGAGTGTTCTCAGAAAGTATGGCACCTATGCCTACATCTTGGCATATCTTCCCCTCTTTTTCCTCCAGCATTGCCACTTTCAGTTCCTATGTTAAGATCTTTGTCCATTTGGAGTTGATTTTTCTGCAAGGTGGGAGGTAAATATTCTTTTTTTTTTTTTTTTTTTTTTTTTTGGTTTTTCGAGACAGGGTTCCTCTGTGGCTTTGGAGGCTGTCCTGGAACTCACTTTGTAGACCAGGCTGGCCTCGAACTCACAGAGATCCGCCTGCCTCTGCCTCCCGAGTGCTGGGATTAAAGGCGTGCGCCACCAACGCCCGGCGGGGAGGTAAATATTCTTATTCTTCTACATCTGAATTCATGATTCACTTAGCAACTGACAGAGGCCCTTTTCAATTAAGTAGATAAGGCAAGAATGAACTTTAAAGCTGTCTAGAAAGATATCCAATCGAATTGCTTTCTGGAAAAAATGATATTCAAGTATAGAAACATAGAACTTTCTTCTACCCATACAATGGAATATTATGTGAGGACTAGTAAATACAGACAGAATGGAATCAGATACAGTACAAACTTTCCTTTTAGGGCAATGAGAATGTCTCGTAACTAGATAGAGTGGTTACATGACATTGTAATTAACACTGCAATTGTTTCGTCTGCAATGGTTAATTTTATGTCAAGTGAATTTTTAGACAAAACTTTCTATGTGTGCCTGTGCATTTGTGGAGTTCCAATGATTCACCTGCCCTCCCTCTACTTCCCCATCACTAGCATTACAACAGCTCACTACCACATCCAGTTTTTTCACATGGGTCCTTGTACTTGTGTGGCAATCACTATACCGACTGAGCTATCCCTCATCCTCAAGAAAAGAATTAAATTAAAATGTTTTCTAGCACATGCTGGCACATACCCATAATCCCAGCACTGGGAAACTGAGCCAGGAGGATTATAAGTGGGCTACCTTGTGAAAAGTTGTCTAAAAACAACAACAAAAAGCTTTTTATAAAAACAAGTAAAAAGTAAAAGGAACTGGAGAGATGGCTCAGGTATTAAGGGCACTGGCTGGCTGGGCGTTGGTGGTGCATGTCTTTAATCCCAGTACTCGGGAGGCAGAGGCAGGTGGATCTCTGTGAGTTCGAGGCCAGCCTGGTCTACAGAGTGAGTTCCAGGACAGGCTCCAAAACAATACAGAGAAATTCTGTCTCGGGAAAACAACAACAACAACAACAAAGAGCACTGGCTGCTCTTTCAGTGGACCAGGATTTGATCCCCTGTACCAGTGTGGCAGCTCATAACCATCTGTGACTCTAGTTTTGCCGTGGGCAGACCCATTCTGGGCCCCTCAACCAGGGGAGAATCAGGGATCCAGTACTCAGGTGGGCAAAGAGTCGGTGAGTGACAAACAGACACAAATGCAAGACAGTGCTCAATCTGAGTGTAATTTCTCAAAGCATGCATCAGATTTTTATAATCATTACATGAGGAAGCAAGGAAATTAATTTTGTACATATGTCAAGGTACATTGAAGTCAGCAACATCAACACAGAAGGAACATCATAAGACTAGAAGTTCAAAACAGAAAAGTTAATTTTGTATATATATCAAGGTACATTGAAGTTAGCAAAACTGACACATAAGGCACATCATGAGAGTAGAAATTCAAAATAGAAAATCAAATTCATGGGAATTGGCAGTAGCCAGGCAGTGGTTATAACATAATAACGTCAGCTCTGTCTGAGATCAACCTATTCTTAGAATTATTTCTCCTGTCTTATGGGCACACGCCCCAGCCATAGTCCCAATTCTTGGTCCAGTGCTTAACCCACCATTGGCCTGCCTTCTCTAACTTTCTGAGTATACTATTTTGTTGTGCCTTAGATAACAGACACCAAGGGGGTCTAGCTCTAGCAAGCCTTCCCATGAAATTTAGGGTGTAGTACAGCACTCCTCCTCTATTTATCTACCCATTACTTTCTTCATCATAAATTCCAGTATAAGGAAGGGGAGCAGCCATTGTCCTAAGCTTTTGGGGAGATTCCCTATTTACTGGAGGAGCCCACCATCAGCTCCTGATTTTGTTGGTTTTGTTTCTGACAAGGAAGTTGGAGCATCAGTGGTGGCCAGAGGACTTCAATCAGATTGGACCCTTGAGGTATACTTATTCCTACAAAAGAAATTAATACCAAAAAAGACAGGGTACAGAAACATCCACCGGTTATTGCTAGAACAAATCTGGAACACATCCTTGATATGGGACGCCAGGGACCTCCAGGAGACCAGTTTCCATGAAACTTTTGCCTTAGGCCTTCAACCATGTTTTTAGGCTTGTCATGCAGACTCCACTGGAGTGGGTGTGGCCAAGTTTCAGTGTTCTCTTCTGGATTTCATGGGCACCAGGCATACACGTGGTGCACAGACATACATGCAGTCTAAACAACCACACACAGAAAAATAAATTTAAACTAACAGAACTGTGTAAGAAAGCCAAAAAATCATAGGAGAAATGCATTTTGTAAAGGTAAAGCTGTTAATATGTGGGGAGAAAGTCTAATGTTTTCAAACATATGAAGAATTTTGTGGAAAAGATGATGTTATCTTCAATAATAGAATTAAATTATAATTGCCTTACACCTTCTCTCATATCCTGTACCTGTGGAAGTGTAATAGGTTCTCTACTGGTTTAGTGACTCCCCTTGGCCCCTTATGTTCCTTTCATCACTAAATTATTGCTTATTTGGTTGTGGCGACAAGGATTGAACCCACGCCCTTGCATATAGTAGATGGTGCCAGGTTGTCGGCTTTTACCCCACATCCTGAAGTCAGTCCCTGCAGTGGGCAAACTACTTTTGCTTTCTACTCATTAAACACGCTCTGAGTCAGTGCGAGAATTAGGCCACGGAGAGTAGGAAAAACCTTAGAGGTGAGGTCAAAGAAAGTCAAGGTCTTGTTCTGAAGTGAGGGTTTCAAGGAGGGTTCGTTCAACACCAGGGTCCAGTTTCTCAGCACCCCAAAGACCGGTACTAAGAGGGAGGGCCTTCTCGCCAATATGAGGCCTGACCTACTGCGAACAAGCAGGCGGAGGATTCGTTCGAGTCTCCCCAATTCCCTCCAAACAAGTGTTACTACAGTCAAGTATCTGGGCTCTAGGCAGGACTTTGCTCATTCTCCTGTACGACCCACTGGACTACGACTCCCGGGAGGCACTGCGACTGATTGATAGATAAAATATCCAATAAATGGTTGACGATGTTCCTAACGTCCAATCCCGCAGGGAAGAGGCGGGCCTTCCCGTAGTAGCTCTCGTAGCCAGTGGGCGTCTCCGCGGCCCGGCTCCGGCCCCGCCCCCAGCCCGTGCTCTCGTGTTCCCGTTCTCCACGCTCTGCCGAGGTGGGTCGCCCGCCGGCGGTGGCTGGCTGCCTCAGTTCGTGGAGGCGTAGGTGGCTACCGCAGCTGACACTCCGCACTGCGGTGGAGCTGCGCGCCCCCTTGCTGCAGCATCGCCAAACAGCTGACAGGGCCGCGGGGCCTCACTGGCTACCTTCGGCGCGCTGTGGCCTCGCTTGGCTCTGCGGTTTTGCTCTCAAGAGGTGCTGGAGGTAGGAATCTGCAGCGTGCCGGGGAGTTGGTGCGAACTACGGCCAGGACAGCTTGAACTCTCCTAGGGATTCCTCTACCAGCCCGTTAGATCGTGTCGTGCATTTCTCCAGATACCAAAATAAAATATTCCCTCCAGTGTCCTTTTGGATTAAAAACGGAAAAGACCAACTCTTCCCACTGTCAGGAACTATCCGTCTTCAGAGTCTGAGATAAAGGCTGGCATATGAGAAAGCTATGTCTTTGCAGCCCTTCCATCCCTAACGCTCCCAGAGGGGCTTCGTTTCTATCATTTTTTTTTCTAGCCTCCGGAGAGATTTCTCCAGAGCATTGACCCAGAGGACTTGATCAGTTTACGATTAGAAGTGACGTTGTTTCCCGAGCCCCCAAAATGGCAGCTAAAATGGAGATAACTTTGAGTACCTACCCCAAGGATACTGACAAGCAAGAGAAACACATAATGATGAAGCTGGAAGAAAAGCGTGGCCCCCCTCAGCAAAAAGCCTGCCCGGATCCGGAGCTTTCCCGCCAGAGCTTCAGACACTTTTGTTACCAAGAAGTTTCTGGACCCCAGGAAGCTCTTTCGCGCCTTCGACAGCTCTGCCGACAATGGCTGCAACCCGAACTGCACACTAAGGAGCAGATTTTGGAGCTCCTAGTGATGGAGCAGTTTCTGATCATCTTACCTCCAGAGATCCAGGCGCAGGTCAGGCATCGATATCCAGCGAACAGCAAGGAAATAGTGACTCTGGTGGAAGATTTGCACAGAGCATCCAGAAAACCAAAGCAATGGGTAAGGAGGGTCCTTTCTCTGTGGGCCCCAGGGTTTCTTTGCTGTCTTTTGAGGTAATGTTTTGTCTCATGATCCCTAGCTATTTAAGAGACTCCAGAGGAATTGATGGCTTCAGAAGTTGTCTCCAGCCTCCAGGGACTCTCCTACTCCCTAAAAAAAGTTTTAACAACGTGCATCTGGCACCCAGTGAGGAAGTAGAAAACTAAGGTATTCCTTCATAGGTGTCGTGACCTTAGAAGAGGCGTTTTAAGGTTCTGAAATCTCTGTCAGATCTTCCCAGGCCCAGATTTGCTACAATCAGGGTTCTTGGCTAACAGGTGTAACCTGTTGGATAGAAAACTAATTTTGGTTGAAGTTCCGTGGACTTTGGTCCAGTGAAGGGTCTACCATATTACCTCTGAATAGGGAAGTTTCAGCTCAATTCCCCTGCTGTTGTTGCCCCCCCCCCATCCCAATCCCAAAGCCCAAAGTCGGACCTCTGGTGGAGCCTCTGAAGGAAGCAAGTCAGATGTCCTTTAGAAAACGGCAACGTGAGGGAACAGGCAGGTTCATCTTCTTAGATCTGAGTACCTTGCATCTCTCCGGCAGAAAAACCTACCGAGTTGGAATGCTTTTCAGTGGCCCCTTACCATACTGTTTTCTGTAGCAGAGGCAGGGAGGGTTGGGGTGTGGGGTGAGAACGGTGTGAGGGGGCACTGTCATCACTGATTCTGGTAGTTTTGCCAGCTCTCTTCTGATGGTCCTGGCTCAAGGCCGTGTGAAGAGCCCCACCTTTGGACACCTGCTTGGGAAGTACTGGCTGACTGAAGCAGCCCCTCCTTCCATTCCCCATGTCCTTTCCTTCACCTCCTTTGAAGGTCTTGTTACTGGTATCTGTAACAGTTGAACTCCAGGTGTTACCAGGACTTCCCGGGGTACAGGGGTCACTGTAGCAGCGAGCGGCGTGTTGCTCCAGTCTGTCAAGGAATAGAGAATTAATGGATAGCCCTTTTCCTAGGTGGCTGTTTGTGTACAAGGGCAGAAGGTGCTTCTGGAGAAAACAGGGGCTCAGCTTGTAGAACAAGAACTTCCAGACTTTCAACCCCAAACTCCTAGCAGAGATACTCGAGAGAACTCGCTGGAAGAACCTTCCTGGGAAGGATCTCATGACCAGCTGAGTCCCCATCATTGGGAAAAATATCCCCTCTACCAGGAGCCAGTCCCCACATTGACTGAGCCAGGTAAACACTTTATCCTTGGCCTCTCATTAGCTTTGTTTCTGTCACAGCATCGCGCGCGCGCGCGCGCGCGAGAGAGAGAGAGAGAGAGAGAGAGAGAGAGAGAGAGAGAGAGAGAGAGAGAGAGAGAGAGAGAGAGAGAGAGAGAGAGAGAGAGAGAGAGAGAGAGAGGAGGGGGGGCCTGTGTACCACAGCGCACGTGTGGAAGTCAAAGGACAACTTTGTGGAATCAAGCTCCAGTCTCTGAGCTTGAGTAACAAGTACCTTTACTTATCCACTCATTTTCCTGGCCAGTTCCCAACTTTTTCTTTCTTTTCTTTTCTTTCTTTTTTTATTTTATTTAATTTATTTATTTATTTATTTATTTATTGGTTTTTTTTTTTGAGACAGGGTTTCTCTGTGTCTTTGGAGGCTGTCCTGGAACTTGCTCTTGTAGACCAAGCTGGTCTCTAACTCACAGAGATCCGCCTGCCTCTGCCTCCCAGGTGCTGGGACTAAAGGCGTGCGCCACCACCAGCCGGCCAGTTACCACATTTTACCACATTTTAAAATTACTTAAACAACTGATTTTTTTTTTTTTTTTGAGGCAGGGTCTTACTGTGCAGCCCAAGCTGGTCTGGAGCTCATTATGTAGGCCAGGCTAGCCTTGAACTCACAGAGATCCACCTGCCTCTGCTTCCCCTGCATGACCATGCCCAGGCTGTGTGGTTTTTTGCTTGTTTTTGAAGAATGACTGGATTAGTTTGCAAAGTGACTGTGCCATTTGAGGATCCTGTCAATGGAGTGTGAGTGTGCCTGTCCACATCCTTGCTAGCACTTACTCCCAGTTATTTGTATTACTGTGATGCATTATTTCACTTATTTATTAAGTTATATAGCTTGGCCAGTGAGATGGCAAAGTGGGTAAGGCACTTGCCACCAGGCTTGACAGCCTGAGTTCAATCCGTGAAGCCCACATGACAAAGGAGATTCACTCCTACAAGCTGTCCTCAGATGACTTTACATGCTTTGTCATAGAAGCAGCCACACCCTAACACACACACAAAATAAATAATACATTTTTTAAAGGAAATTGTATATCTTTTGTTGGTTATTGGGTGTCATGTAGCCTAGGCTAGTTTCAAAGCCATTACGTAGCTGAGGCTGAACTTGACCTCCTGATTCTCCAGTCTTCACTTCCTAAATCCTGTGATGACAGGCCTCTGCACTCACTCTCAGCTTATAGAAAAATTCTAGTCATATATGTTACCCAATTTTATCTTGGGCTGTTGTATTTTTATTATTAAAGTTTAAGAGTTAAAATAAGTATTCTGGATCCTAGACCCCACAGATAATTCATGGATGTTTTCTCTCTTCGTTTCAGTTTTTTGATGGTGTTCATGAAGCACAGATGTTTTGTTTCTTTTTAATGTTACTACATTTTTATTTATTTTGTGTGTATCTGTATACGTGTGAAATGCACATCTGTGGAGGTCAGAAGAAACTTTGGAGATTCAGGTCTCTCCTACTGTGTGGGTCCCGTGGGTCATACTCAGATCATCAGGCTTGATCATAGTTGCCTTTACCCACTGAACTAAAGAGTTAAGTTTAGCTCTTCAGTTCATTTTGAGTTACTTTTTTATACGTGACATTTTGTGTGTGTTACTGAGGTTATTATAACAAAGTCCCTTAGGATGGACAATAAATAACGAATTTATTGTTAACTGTTTCAAAAGTTAAGTACACAGTCAGCTGAAGAGTTGACTTAGTGGGTAAGAGTGTTTGCTGAGTTCAAATCCTCAGAGCCATCCCCACCCGCCCAAATCAGGCCTGGTTGTTGTATGCTCCTGTAATGCCAGGGCCTTGGGGATGGGAGGAGACAGGATGATTTAGCCCCATGGCCTGACAGTAATAGAACAAGACACATTTTCTGGTCTCTTTATTTGTGCTTTACAAAGTCACACACACAAACATCTGCACCATACTCACACACTCTAACATACATACAAGCAAACAGAAGTCCAAAGTTGGCACAAACAGATACAGTGTCTAAGGATGACCGATAGCACTTGTCATGTGTCCCCCCATACTGAAAAGAAAAACAGGAAACAATTTTTTTTGTCTGTTTGACAAGGGCACTAATTCCATTCAAGAGGGCTTCATCTTTATGGTCCAGTCACCCCCCACCCCCAGTTCTGCTATGCTGGGGATTGTCAACACATAAATTTAGGGGTAGGCGTTCAGTCAGACTGTAATCTTCATTCCTTGAAACTTGTGAGAATCCAGTGATTCCAGGGTCAGTTATTGAAAAATTACTCCTTTCCTATTGAATTGTTCTTAAGAACCTCCATGAAGCCAGGCATAGTAATGTAGGCCTGTAATCTCAGCACTGGGGAGGTGGAGGCAGATCAGGAGTCTAAGATCATCTCAGTTACATAGTGAGTTTGAGACCAGCCTGGGCTAAATGAGATCCTGTCTCAAAAAAATGAGCACAACAAAACCTTGATGAAAATCAGTTGGCAATAACTGTTGGAGTTCCTTATTAAATTTTAAATTAATTAAAATTCAAAATTCACTTCCTCAACCACATTTACTCTGTTTCAGACACTCAACAATCACATCTGCCTGGTGGGTGCCGTGTTAAATGGTGTAGGCAGTTCATGAAAACAAATTTTCCATTTTGAGGTCTTTCTGGATAGTGCTGTTGGTGATTCTTCAGTTTTCCTGGTCCATTCTAGCTCACATCCATCTGGATCCTCAGTCCTGCCAGCAGGTGGACAGTTTCTTTAATTAGGGTACATATCTACTCTATATTTCAGTTTTTAAACCCTTAGGCTGTCAACACTGTAATAAACAAAACAAAACAAAACACTATAGTCACTGGATTTATCATTCTTTTGAAGTGAAGGAGATTGACAAGTCTTTGTCCATGTAAGGGAAGGATATTTATTCAAATAACTAAGTATTGAATTTTAACCTTCAGCCAAGTGCAGCAGTACATGTCTGTGGTCCCAGCTACTGAGAGGATCACTTAAGTCATAGAGTTTAAAGTTAACCTAAGCAATACAATAGACCCTGTCAATAAGTAAATAAACATATTAAGTGCTTTCCTACTTCATTGTTGACACTTCATTTTGATGTCTTTGTTTTTTCTATTCCTGTTTTCCTACACCTTTTTCTAAAGATAGGAAGAATAGAAGGAGAATTTGGTTCCTAACTTTACTATAAATTCACTTTCAAGAGGTAGTTAACTGTGCAGATTACCAGGCCTAACCCTCAGAGTTCTGATTCACCAATATTAAGGGTGAGGAACCCCTTGTTTATGGGTCTAGAGGAGTCTGATGCTCATACGTTACCAGCAGAAGCCTGCCAACCCTGCCAACCCTCACAACATACTTCATACAGAGGCTGCCCACCCTGCCAACCCTCACGACATACTTCATACAGAGGCTGCCCACCCTGACAACCCTCACGACATACTTCATACAGAGGCTGCCCACCCTGACAACCCTCACGACATACTTCATACAGAGGCTGCCCACCCTGACAACCTTCACAACATACTTCATACAGAGGCTGCCCACCCTGCCAACCCTCACGACATACTTCATACTTCTTTTACTGAAGCTCTTTCTTCTAAGTACAGAAAATGAAGCACATTATTTCTAATTATAGAGTCCTGCAGGATGAGAAGTGACAACAAGGAAAACCCACAACAGGAGGGGGCCAAAGGAGCAGAGACACATGCAGTGTCATCCAGGAGATCTAAAGGGAGTAGTCTGCACAGCCCTGAGCCAAGAGGGGTGACCATGAATGAGCCCCGATTGTCACAGAGGCAGGCCAGTCCCCCAAAAGCTCAGAAGGCATTTGCTCACTACGAGAGACATTGCAGACAACTGGAATATATCAGCAACCCCCTCAGAGGCCACCCGCTGAGAGAGTTAAAGAAAAGCCAAGGAGGCAGGGGAAGCCTAAGCAGTCTCCAGCAATGTCTTAGTCACCAGGCACCCCACTCAGCAAAGAAACCTTATAAATGTGATGACTGTGGGAAAAGCTTCACGTGGAATTCAGAGCTGAAACGACATAAGAGAGTGCACACAGGAGAGAGACCCTACATCTGTGGGGAGTGCGGAAACTGCTTTGGGAGGCAGTCAACTCTGAAACTGCACCAGAGAATCCACACTGGGGAGAAACCATACCAGTGCAGCCAGTGTGGGAAAAGCTTTCGCCAAAGCTCAAATCTCCACCAGCACCACAGGCTCCACCATGGGGACTAAACAGATGCTAAGTGCTTTAGAGTCCCAGGGAAGGGCTTCCTGTCTCTCCTTTCCCTTATGTGCATGTGAATCACAGATTTGCAAAGGAACAAGAGGCCCTTGGGGAGTGATGGGTGAATAATCTGGTAAGGAGCTCAAAAGGAGGCTGTCTGCAAAGATGGCTGATGTAGGTGTTGGGGCAAAGAGAACTGCAGTCTCTGCAGAGGGGGGACTAGTTACTGAGGAATAGTTAGGATGAGCCAAAGTGGTTTTAATTAATCCTTAAATTCTCCTTGGTGCTTTGTTTTATATGTGTTTTCATGCGTACACTTGAGCAATTCACTAGAATTCCAAGAAAACATTCCCTAGGGAGATCTCTAATAGTCTTTCAGCAACTAACTTTTTTGCTGTTGGTGGTGGTAGTTTTTTGTTTTTTGTTTGTTTTTGTTTTTGGTTTTTATGAGACAGGGTTTCTCTGTATTGTTTCGGAGGCTATCGGTCCAGCCCGGCCTCGAACTCACAGAGATCCGCCTGCCTCTGCCTCCTGGGAGCTGGGATTAAAGGTGTGCGCCACCAACACCCGGCTAATTTTTATTTTCGAGACAGGCTTTTTCTGTGTAGCCCTGACTGTCCTGGAACTCACTCTGTAGACTAGGCCGACCTTAAACTCAGAGATCTGCCTGCCTCTGCTTCCTGAGTACTGGGGTTAAAGGTGCCAGGCAGAAGCTAACATTTTTATTTAAAACGTTGTATTTGAGGGATCTTTTTATATCAAAGAACTTTTGATTTACAAAAGATGTTGCAATTGTAACCCAAGATACAAGGAAAAGCTATAAGGAGACGTAAATACTGCTCTGATGGATAGGAGAATTCTGCTTGTTCTTACTCAAATAAGCCATTAGCTTTAAGACCTGTGACTGACATTTTCATAGTATTTACAGTTGGATTATAGTGATAGTACACAACTCAGTGACTCCAGGAAAATTACTGAAATAGTTAATTTATGATAAGTAAATTGTATCTTCATAGCATTTTTTCAAATGACAGAATGCTATACTTATATAAAATGTTAAAGTTTCAGAACTGGATCTGGAACACCATCCTATGCCAACTCTCAAAGTAGAAAGTAGAACACAATCAGTATCACCATAGGCAAGGTGTCCTCTTTCTCAGTTCAGGCAGATAAGATCCATGACCTTGAGTACAAATGGTGGGAGGTGGCCATTCTCCTGAAGGCATCAGTACTGCCTTTATCTTCAATATTCAGCCTGTCCTTACATCTTCCCCAGCCCACATACCATTACTGACTGTAGCCTTTATAGTTCTCACCCCAACACCACCAGACACACGTACCCTTCCCTCTAGGTCAACTTCACTGTGATCTCTTGGTAACTTCTGAGTCTTAGTCATGTCTGTATCTGTTTTCTATTGGTGCTGTAACAAATGACTGAAAATTGGGTGACTTAACACAAAACTTCTCTTACACTACTGGAAGTTCAAGTCTGAAATCAGTTTCACTTAGCCAAAATCACCTTGGGTAGGACTTTCCTTTTGGAGCCTCTGAGAGATGGATCCGTTTCCTTGACTTTTTAAGCTTCTAACAGCCTCCTGCATTCTTGGACTCATGGCCCCTTCATCCTCAAAGAATATTCTTTGACTTGCTATCTTGCCTAACCTTATCTAACCTTGGCCCTCCTGAATCTCTCTTAGAAGGATGCTTGTATTGGGCCTTGCAATGTAATCTCAAGATCCTTAATAACACCTACCAAAAACTCCTTTTGCCATTTAAGGTGACATTTGCTGGTTCCAGGGATTAGGATGTGAGTGTATGTGGAAGACCATCATTTGGCTTACCTATCATGTCTGTGTATCTTGAATCAACTTGGTCACCCAAAGGAGATTTCCAAAAGAAAAGGGTCAGCATAGGGACACTTGCTATAGTTTTGCTACTTGAGATATTTCATAGAGCTAGTAAGTTTCTTCTCTTCAGATTACACACCAGTGATTGTTTAGTGTCTTTGGGTACCTGTTCAACTGTAGACCTTATATTTGTATGACAAACTCACAGTCAACATCATTCTTTTCCAAAGGGTGTCAAGACCATGATGCCACCTTGCCTCTGTGCCTCTAGCCCAGTTTTCCTTTGCATAAGGTTACCTCCAGACAGCTAATGGCAGTAAGAGTCCAGTAGCTCAGAAGGCCCTCGGGTGCTGTGCTCAGATGTAGGGGTTCCCTCATCTCCTTTGTCTATGCATGCTTCACTAGAGCCTCAGCATAAAGTCTTGACCTATTTTCCTTCTTTTTCAGGACCCCAAAATAAGAAAATTACTTTTCTCCTTTCACATGCAACTCTTGATCCTAGGCATCCCATTGGTTGTCCCACATTTCTGAGACCTGCCTAGCACATACTGGAATCAGGTTAGGGGTGACTCTTGCTTTCAACGTTTGATCCTGGAGTTACCCCCAAGGAAACTCAAGGAGAAAGGAAGCATTGAAAGTAGTGGGGAATCCATATATCTAAAGAGCATTTCTCATCTACAGCAGATAAGGTGTAAACCAATCCCACAATATAGCTGTCCCTCTCAGTAAAGTTGGCAGTGACTCCTCACAGTACAATAGACTGCAAAAATGCTTCCTTTTTATTGCTTCATTGGAGTAGTGCACATACCAGAGAACTTGTGCATTTATATTTACAGTATATAGTTCAGTGGTTAGCAATATAGTATTCAAAGCTGTGCAGCTGTCATCACAAATCTCATTTTAGGGCATTGTCAGTATCACAGAGAAAGTACGCTTAAACATTAGCAATCATTTCCTGTACCTGTCACACCTTGTGCCTCTGGAGTATCATAGGATCCATACACGTATCAGGGCTTTATTCCTTTTATTTCCTAGTAGTTCTGCATTGTATGAAGAGGCATTGTTCATCCACTGATTGATTGTGTAATTGTACTTTAGCTATTGTAGATAGAGAAATGCTGCTACGAACATTGATATTTAAGTTTTTATGTTTCATTCTTCTTGGGTACATGCCTAAAGACTGAATTGCTAGGTCATGTGATAAATTTCTGTTTAACTTTTCTAGGAAACAGCGAACTTTTCCAAAGTGTATGCGCCACGTTTTACATTTCAACCAGCAGTTTTCAAGTGTTCCCATTTCTCCACAACAAAAATAAACAATTTATTATTGTTACTTTGTTTTTTTGAGACAGGCTTTCATGGCTGGCTTAGAACTCACAATCCTATCTGAGGATGATCTTGAACTCTTGATCCTTCTGTCTCCACCTCCCAAGTGTCAAGATTGCAGGCATGTGTCACCATGTCAGGTGTTCCTGGTATTTGCCTTTTGATTATTGCTATCCCAGTCAATATGAAGGGGTGTGTCATGATCTTGATTTATTTTCTCCAATGACAAATGGTATATTTATTTAATGTATGTATATTTGCTTTGAAGAAATGGCTGTTTACAACTCCCCTTCCCCCCTGGTGTTTTGAGCCAGCCCTGGCTGGCTTAAAACTCACTATGTAGATTAGGCTGGCTATGGATTTGAGAATGTTGCCTGTTTCCCAAACCCTTTGGTTTTTGTTGTTTTTGAGACAGAGTCTTGCTCTGTAGGCTGGGCCAACTAGGCTTGCCTTGAATTTGCAGCAATCTTCTTGCCTCAGCCTTGAGTTCTGGGATTACAGGTGTGAGCCACCATAACTCTCTCTGTGGCCCTTTTAAAATGGATATTGATGTCGCTGAATTGTAAGAATTCTTTAAATATTCTGGAATGATGTCCTTATCAGATATGTGACTTGCAAACAGTTCAGTTTCTCTCACTCTTTTGTAATATACTTGTTTGCTTGCTTGGTTTTGTGATTTTTGTTTTTTGGGAGGTTGGGTTTTTTGGTTTTTTTTTTATTTTTTGTTTTGTTTTTTATTTTTTGGTTTTGTTTTGTTTTGTTTTGAGATGGGGCTTCCTTGAACTCAGTAATCAACTACCTCTGCCTCGAGTGCTGGGATCAAAGGTGTGCCTCACCACCACCCAGCTTGTAATACACTCTTGTACAATTGTTGTTGTTGCAGTTGGTTGATACAAACTCCTGTGTAACACAGGATAACCTCAAACTTGCAATCCTCCTGTCTTAACCAGTAGAATGCTGGGATTACAAGTGTACACTCATGCCCAGCTGTACACATCTGTAATGAAACAACTGTCACTTGCCAAAATCTAAGAAACCAAATTCTCAGTTTCCTAATTGCCAGTAAAACAGCCTGACATTCCTGTGAATTAAGAAGTTTAGGATCCTTGGAACACAATTTATACCAGTTCCTTCCTCAGACTTCCCTATGCCAACCATGTGTGGCTCCCAATTCCTAAGGGAAATTTAAGTATTTGTTGAAACAGTTCTACTGTTTAGGCTTTGGAATAAACATGTTCCCATTGAAATAAAGATGATATTTGTTACTTCATAAGCTACAGATGTTGGTAAGTACTTGACATTTTTTCTCAGTTATGGGGAATTGAACTATTAATCCAGCAGATTTGGAGATTATTTTTCTGTTGTTGCTGTTTTAGGGAAAAGAAAGCCACAGTGTTCAGAATTCAAATTCTAGACCACATCTCATAGCCTGCCAGACAATTAGTAGGTCTGAGTTAGTTTATTGTTTCTTTAGTTTATTGGGCCTTTGGTTAGTATGGCTTGATGTTTTGAGATGGGGTCTCTTTGTATTTCATAGGCTGGTCCCAAATTATTGAACTCAAGTAGTCCTCCTGCCTCAGCCTCTTGAGTATCTGGACAACAAAACACTTGTTACTCTTTTTTTTTTCTTGGGTTTCTGTCTTATTTACTGTTCTATTGCCATGAGGAGACACCATGACCAAGGAAACTTATAAGAAAGCATTTATAGGCAGTGATGGCTCACACCTTTAATCCCAGCACTCAGGAGGCAGAGGCTGCGGAAATCTGAGTTCAAGGCTAGCTTGGTCTGCAGAGCTAGTTCTGGGACAGGCTTCAAAGCTAGAGAAATCCTGTCTCAAAGGAGGGAGGAAGGATGGAAGGAAGAAAGAGAATAAAGAAAGAAAGAATTTAACTGGGGGCTTGTGTAGAGTTTCAGAGGGTTGGTCCATTTTCCAGCATGGTGGGAAGCATGGTAGCGGGCAAACATGGCCTGGGGCAGTAGCCTAGTTTAAATCTAATCCAAAGGCAGCGTGGACCTGGTGTGGGCATTTGAAACCTCAAAACCCACTACCAGTGACACCTTCTCCACAAGGCAACACCTCCTAATCCTTCTAAACAGCCTGCCAATTGGAAGCTGAACATTCAAATACATGAGTGTTTGGGGGCCATTCCCATTCAAACCATCACAGATTTTTAGACAGTCTCACATAATCCAGGTTGGCCTTGAACTATGTAGCCTAGGATGATTCTGAGCTCTTGTTTCTTCTCTGGTCCATAAGTCCATTAAAGGTGTGTGCCGCTGTACCTGGGAATTTTTAAATCACTGTGATGTGAGTTTGGGAATCACAAGTATTGGGTAATGTTCTTAGTGAAGCTGCTGAAACCCTGACTACAGAAGAAGTTGGCCTCTAAGCACATCAGTGGGATTGAGATACTCTGGGATGGAGGAGTCTGAAGAACAGATTCTGGGTGGGCTTTTCTGACTTAGGTATATGTTGAACAATGCCACTTGCAGCTTGACTCTTCCAAGCTGTATCATCACATAAAAGATTTACAGGATACAAACCCCAAGAGAGGACATAGAATGAATAGACAAAATGTGGTCCTTCCAGAGAGGCGTATTATTCAACCATAAGAAAGGAAATACTGATATGCTACACCACGTTGTGCACATAAAATCAGGTTCAGTGATAGAAGCCAAGTGGAATGTCTCGTTAGGCAGATACTAAAGACAAAAATAATTAGTGATTGCCAAAGGCTATGGTGAGGGTGGAATACGGGGTGATTGATGATGTGGACTTTTGTGGGGGGCTGCTGTTGTACAACTTTGTGAATATAAAAGTGTGTACTTTAAAGGATGAATTTTATTATGTGAACTGTAACTAAGATGAAATAACTTCACAGTTAAGTTTCTACCATAGGCCCCACAGCCAGCTGACCCAGTGCCCAGCACCAGGATTGTAGCACCTCCAACTCCAGGCAGTCAAGAAGAGTATCCAGCAGGGTGTTGGTGGCGCATGCCTTTAATCCCAGCACTCAGGAGGCAGACAGACAGATCTCTGTGAGTTCAAGGCCAGTCTGATCTACAGAGCAAGTTCCAAGATAGCCTTCAAAGCAATACAGAGAAACTGTCTCGAAAAAACAAAAAAAGAGAGTATCCAAAGGTCAAAGTTACACATAAGGCTTTTCCAGGGATTGCAGGGATGAATGAGGGCACGTGCATGTTTGTGAAGACCTAGCCTTGTCCTGAAGTATGCCTCCAAAAGGAGCAGAACGCACTGTTGGTCCTTCATTTCACTCGTTGGGTTTTGGTGCAGGCTCTTATGTAGCTGAGGGTGATCTTGAGCTTCTGAAATTCTTGCCTCCGTTTCTCTGTGTTGTGTGTATGTGTGCATGTGGAAGTCAGAGGACAACTTTGTGGAGTCAGTTCTCTTTCCTCATTATGTGGGTTATGGGGATCAAACGTAGGTCTTCAGGCTTTCACAGTAAGCACCACATACTAAGCTATCATTGCTGGCCCCTTTTGTTTTCCATATCCAATGAAACTCTCATGCTCAATTCTGTGAGACCAACTTCCCTTTCGTGACATGTGGTTTCTATAAATAGTGCCTGAACTGAGAATGCTTGCCTAGAAATTGGCGTATTGAACTGGAAATCCACAGGTAGCTAAGGAACAGCACTGGCAAGGAAGTAACAGGAATGGTTATATTGAAAACCTTAGATGTTATCTTAAGGACAGCAGAATGTCAGTGGGAAGTGTCAGACTGAATGATGATATAACCAGATGTTACCAGACTATTTTAGTTAACTAATGGATAAAGTTCACTGGATGGATTTAGTTACTGTTGGAGAAAAGACAATTAAGGAAAGAAACAGGTTTGGGAAACATATGGGGGTTTTCTTTGGTTTTTGCCTTGTAAATCTAGGACCTGAACACAGGGCCTCCTTCATGCTAAATAAGCATTCTGTCACTGAGTTATATCCCCATCACATTATGAGAAATATTTTTGAGGTATCATTCACAGAAACTCATGCCAGAATAGATGAGGAGTTGGGGCAGCTTATAAATAACAGAGATTTGTTTTTCATATTGCTAGATGCTGGGAAGTCCAAGACTAGTGTGTTGGTAGTCCCCATATCTAGAAAGGGACATTTTATAGATAGTGCCTCTTCCCCCCACCCCACCCCCATACAAGGTTTCTCTGTGTATCTCTGGATGCCCTCCAACTCAATTTATAGACCAGGCTGGCCTAGAACTCAGATCAGTCTGCCTCTGCCTCCTAAGTGCTGGGATTAAAGGCATGCACCACCACCACTGGGCAGATAGTGCCCTCTTGATGGTTCCTCATATGGTAGAAAGTGCTGGCTAGTTCTCTGAAGTTTCTTTTATAAGGGAACTAAATACGGGTTTCATATTCATGACCTAGTCACTTACCCCACCTTCTAATACTATCCCGCTTGAAGCTAAGATTCTAGCATATGAATTTTGGGAGAAGAACATTGGAATCACAGTGGGAGGAAAGGAAGAGAAGGTACAATTGTGTGGATGGAGTACCATATACTGGAGGCAAACAGGCTAAATGCATGCCCTGGTTTGGACAGGTATTGGATTTCTCAAAAATGTTCAAAGGAGGATATCTCTGTAGTGAGAGATCTACCAGACATATCTCAGGTACTTGACTACAGGAATTGAGTTCAACAGAGAGGAGAAACCTAGACTAACATCAGATGAGACAGTGTAGTCATAAACGTAACCAAAATCATCTAGGGCAAACCATTACCCAAGGTAAGCCAAGAGCACACTATGACTAACCAGAAGCATATTAGATAGAAAAATGCTCCAAGGAACCAGCTGTGCTTCTAGTCTCAGCTACTCCGGAGAGGTATGTGGGAGGATCAGTACTGCTTAAGGACGAGAGGAAAAGGATAGTATACACAACATATGGAAACAATCACAGGGTCAGTCAAGCAACAGAGCATGTCAAAAGTAAGCTGCTGACAGGTTCCAGAGAAAATGCTCTACCCAGGGCAAGCAAGAAGCCGAGGGGACAACACGGCTTCCTCTGGTCCAGCATGGTCGGTGCCTCTATCTCGGTATGGCCTCTTCATAGCCTCAACGCACTAGCCTCGCACAGATGCACTCAGATTCGATCCGGAGTAACCTTGGGGCACATGTCCTCTGCCGGTAGCCCAGATTCTGCTGAGACCCTAGAGGCTGGCCATGGGACAGATGATGCCTCACCAAACTCCACTGCTAGATACCCAGCCTAAACCGCCAGAGCAGTGCGCAAAGCATGGATGGAAACGGACACACTGGAAGTGGCCTCAGCTTCCGGCTTCCTGCACAGCTGGCAAGGCAAATTTCATCTGGTAGGCATGTTCTAATCTGTACGACTGGTGACTGATTGGCCAGTATACAATCATTCCTAGGCTGCAGGAAACCATAAAGGAGAACTACTTACCATATTCCTTCCCAGCTGAGCCTATCTGTTAGATAACCGCTATCCCGTGGAGCTCCACTACCCTGCAGCTAAGACTGGAAGGTAGGTACACATCTAGTGCTGTCTTGGAATAATGCTGGAACTTTATACTGAATTCCCAGGAACAAGATATATGATTCCTTTATCAAGTGGGGTAAAGTAATTCATTCACAGTCTCTAAAACTATAATCCAATTAGCTTTTTCCGAACTTAACTTTAGTGAAACCCAAAATCATTGAAGTATGCATTTTAAAAGTTCACAACCTTGCCATCATAAAATAACATTTATTGGATAATAAATTGCACATCAGATACACACACAGTCACAGTTTAGAGAGTTCAATCTAGAGCTAAGACCAACGAGAAAGTGATAAGAATGGTAAAGCTGAAACATTAAACAGAAGTGCATATGGAAAACTAACTAGGCATCAAAATGACTAGACATGGTAGAATATTCTTAAGTTTATATAAATGAATATGTTGTCTCCCCTTTCTCCCTACACTGTTCTTGCAGACAACAATCTCAATTCAAAGAGACAAAACACCTGTAGTAATAGATAAGTAATAGTCATTTTTGTATCACATAAATATCTCTGAATATACAAGACTAAAACAGTTAAAAATACACACAAACAAAATTTACCTTTTTAACAAAGCCAAAGCAAAAGTAGTTTCCTAATAAGATCCCTGCAACATTCAAAATAGGTTCTTTTTAATAGAAGCTATAACCTACACCTCCCTTTGAATACATATATAATAAATTAGAGATTTAAAGCAAAATCTATCATTTTAGATTGTTCGGCATCTTACATTATAGTCACCAGAACACTGCTACTTAATTTTATGATACTTCAGGTGTCAAAAACAAAAATGTCATTTAACTGCCTGAGTTACCAGGCCAGCTGTCTTCAGGGTTACAGGGATCTATGAACAGATTGTTAATTAGCAGCACAATTCTAGACAAAATATTTGAGTTCAACTCGAACAACAAAATCTAATATCATTTAAATACAAAGTGCAAACACTAGCATATAAATTCCATTGGGAAATGCTGTTGTCATCAATGATGACAGTTTAACAGAACCTGCTATCCCCACAGTAATGTTAAAGAACTGTTTTATTCACAGTTTCATCATGGCATCAACAAAACCCATTAAGTACCAAGTTTCCATACTTTATAGTGTCAACATCCCTCCTACATGTAGTTAACTAACCATTCATAGCAATAGACTCTTACATCCCATTTTTTAATCCCTATGTTGACTGTATCAATATTTATTAGCACCTAACATGACTTGCTAATAGCCTGGGTTAAGAGCAATCTATGGAATCTACCCTAGTTGACAGTATGGTTAGGAGGATGAAAAGGCCATTATCATAAAAGTAGCCCATATACCAGTGGCAGACACAGCTCTTCATTCAACTCCTTAGGGACACAGCAGCTTGAGGATAAAATATAACATGTTTTTAGGACCAAGTAAACAAATAAATAACTAAAAATATGCCTATTTCACAGTAGCATTCAGGTTTTTCCTTTTTTCTGCAACCAGTTACCAATAATATACCACAAGCCATTTAATTACTCTCATATATAATGATTTGTGTAAAGGTGCCTTTTTTTTCTAGTCTTTTGTGGGTAATCTTTCAAAATCTGGAGAATGCAGAAAATTACAAACACTAGAGGTAAATTGTGAATAGAGATCCAACTAGAAATGTTCATTTCCATGTTCAGATGTGCAGCACCACTTGCAATACAAACTCACCTTTTGTATTTCCTTAGAAGCAAAAGGGGGGAGGCACAACTTCCATCTTTTATATCAGACACATTTTGTCCAAGTACCTTCTGATACATTTCCCTTTTATTTTTCTGTACCAACCTTGTTAGTTAGCAAGGGCCTCTTTTCCAATTTCATTCCCCATCCTGTAAACTCTCCCGTTTTCACTGAAATATTAGAGCATATGAGGCACCATACCATTTACCCTCCCTCCCCCGCTCCCAGAAGCAAGACAGTGGGAAACTAACACTCTTGTTGCTGTTAACAACAACCATTCTATTCCAGAGTTAGCTAAAGACTTGAGACTACCTTTCTATACAAAGCCGTCTCTGACAAAGAGCTGACGAGACCAGAATGCCATTTCAAATGTGAGACCCCACTCACTGACAGAATGATCCTTTATATCCTAAATGTGGGGAACAGCCAAGTCTGACCTTGACATACGTATCACAGTCTCAACTGTGGATAAGTTGAAATAGTCACCTCCATGAGAGGGACAACAGATGAGGCAAGGCTGTTGACTTCAGTTTTTTCAGCAAGTGCTCTTCCTGTCTATAGTAAATATTAAGAGCTTAGTCACAGGGCTGGCATCTTTTTGTATATAAAATCCTTACCTGCTCTTCTGTAGAAGGAACAATTCCCAGGTACTATGTTTCAGACACCAGCCTTCAAGAGGGCTTTATTTTTGTGCATAAAATTTCCTAGCAGTAATTCCATTTTAGTAAATACTGTATTTTTACAGTTCATTTACACAGAATTCTAGCCAAAAGACCGTGTAGATTTTACTGATAGGTATATAATCAATTTGGTTGTAAAGTGTAGTTCTGTAAGAACGTGTACTTACAACATTCTTCAGTTCTTGTAATAACCACACTATGAAAATATTTTGTTCTAATATTTATCTGTAATACCAGTATTTAAAGGCATATTTATTATCAATTATTTTGGCTAAAAACTCACTAATCCTGTATGTATTTTTCTTTGGAATTGGATATGAAATGTTACAATTTAATTTTAAAAATCTCTAACTGGTTGGTGGTGGTGTATGCCTTTAATTCCAGTACTCAGGAGGCAGAGGAAGGCAGCACTCTTGAGTTCGAGGCCAGCCTGGTCTACAGAAGGAGTTTCAGGACAGCCAGGGCGGCATAGTGAAACCCTGTTTCAAAATGGGAAAAAAAAATTCTCTGATTTGATATAGTGACAAGAAGTTCAAGCATGAAGCATAGAGTCTTCTGTTGCCTTTTAAGAGTAATGAAATCAAGTTTTGGAGATAAAAATAAGGATATTTATAACATGGGCTTCAGGTAGTAAGTCCCGGGGAAGCCTCCATGATGACTGTTGTTCCCCTTCCTCTCCCAGCATCCTTGTCTCCTAGAGTTAACTTGTGGCACAAATACCAACAGATAGTGCAGTGTCACAAAATGATGGCCTTAAGAATTACAACACACCTGAATGTAGATGTCAACCTAGGTTCATCACAGTGTGCTTAGCAAAGTATTGACTTTACATTGGAGAGTCCTTTCTCTCAGATTTTTAAAAAAATTAAACAAAATAATATACCCACACTATTTAGCATGCTCTATAAAACATAGTTCTAACATTCATGAGATCTAGAGGCAAATCTACTTAGAGAGGAACAAGTACTCCCCTCAAACCCTAACTGCTAGACAATATCAGGACCTGCCTCTGCCTTCAGGTCTGAAAATGGGAAGTCCACAGATACTGTCATCCACTAGCTGGATATGATGGTACATACCAGTAATCTTAGCACTTGGGAGATGGAAACAGGAAAATAATGATTTTGAGGTTGGCCTGGGCTACACAGCAAGAACCCCCACACACTTAAAAAACAAAGTTGGCTCATTTGGTAGCTTTATATAAAGTCCTAAACTAGAAATTCACATTAAAACAAAATATTCTATACAGACATTACACTGAAATAGTTTTAACATGAAAACTATAAAAACAAATATAAATACATTCATTTTCCTAGATACTGCATGTACAAAACTGGCAAAAAAAAAATTTCTTCGTAAAATTCTTAGAAACCAAATTTGAAAAAAAAATGTAGCAATAACCTTCATTTTAACAAAAACTAAATTATTTTGGTTTTTGTTTTTTGAGACAAGGTCCCACTATCTAGCCCTGGCTGTCCTGGAACTCACTATGTAGACCAGGCTGGCCTTGAACTCAGAGATCCTCCTATTTCTACTGCCTGAATGCTGGGATTAAAGGTGTGCACCACCCCACCCAGCAGTCAAAAGCTGAATTTTAAAGTTTCATGTTTCTCTGGCTCATATAAACGGAATTTGATCAAGTAACGGTTCAAGTCCTAGCTTCACATGCTATGTATGTAACATTGATTATGTCTCCTCTGTTTTAAATCAGATGTAATAAATAATACTGCCTACATTACATGGAATGTGTGTAAAGTGCTTGCTTAGCCTGGTGCCCCCGCACATAAGCAGTGTTTCCCATCATAAAGATACTAAAAAGCCCACACAGTAACAGCAAAAGGTTGTATTTACTTGGTGTTTCTCCTATGGGTTCGTTTATGAGTGATGAGATGCATATTCACTCTAAAGCTCTTTCCACACACTGTACATTTAAAAGGTTCTTCTCTTATGTGGGTCTTCTCATGGGATGCAAGTTCTGAATCTAAAGCAAAAGTTTTTGCACATGTTTTACATTTATGAGGTTTTTCCATGTCATGAATGGTTTGATGAGAAACAAGTTCCGAGAAACAAGGAAAGGTCATGTCACAATCAAGACATTGTAAAGGTTTGAATCTGGAGAATGAAAAAAAGTCTTCATCATCAATACTGCAATTCTTAGACTCCTCCTTATCGTCCTTCTCAGGGAGAGCAGGGTATGAGGGCTGCTCCAAGCTCTTCACACACTGTGTGTGCTGGTATGGGGTGTCTGATGAGCCTGTTCTTTCAGGCAAAGCCAGATTCGTTTCCTGACAATACTGTTGATCACGGTCAGCACACTGATAAGAATTTTTATCAGTATGACTCTTCTGATGTTCTGCCAATCCTGGGAGCCACATAAAACCTCTCCCACATACATAACATGTATATGGTTTTTCCTTTACATGGCTCTTCATGTGTCGGGATAGGTGTGACTGCTGCCGGAAGCTGGCAGCACACTTGGTACACTTGTAAGGCTTCTCACCAGTGTGGATTCTCTTGTGTGTCCTCAGGTTGGTCCTGTGACTGAAGGTCTTCTCACAGGTACTACATTTGTACTTTTTCTCTCTTGAATGAATTCTCTGATGCAAAACAAGGTATGTATTATCACTGAAACTTTGGTCACAGTCAGGACACTTGTACTCATTTTTGGCTTCTTCCCAGGGAACTTCAATAATATCAGAAAGTGTTCTGACTCCTAAACATTGAGATAATTCTACTAATGGGGTTTGGTTTTCAATGGTAACCAAGAGGCCTATGACCTTAGTCTTGTAAGAGAAAGTTTCACCTGACATTTTGCTTTCCTGTGTTCCAACATCATCCTCAGATTTTTCAGAGTAATGGACAAGGGGTGCAGCAATGGAATATGTTTCTAGGGACAGCTCTTCAAGTTCCATAGACTCTAGGCTTAACTGCTGATTGGTCTCAGTCTTGTCTTCCCCTCCTGTTGATAAAAGCAAAACAAAGGAAAACATAGACACCACCTTTAGCTGACACTAGAGAAAGAACAAGTTAAAGTAGTTACACTGAAGACCAGAAACTGAAAATGGATTAGCTTATTACCCAGACACTAATAAATATACAAAAATCAGGAGCCAACAGGCTCTCTTGACTTCCCAAAATCAAAAGTCTATCCGTGTGGGTGGACTGCAAGGTTCCAGGTCAATCTGCAAAGAGAAGGAGCAAAGAATGACTCTAAGACAGGGTTTGCTGAGATGGTACTGGGGACAATCTTGGTAGGCAGTGCCTAGAAATGTAGTTTTTCTGCTTAGTCTATTTAGGTTTTAGGAATTTTTCATTATCTCAAATGAGAGTCAAGTAGGCAAAACCAGAATGGAGATTAGATATACTTATAAAAGAAAGAAAACTATTTTTATACTTTAATAAACATCCAAATTATTAAAAGATAGTTCTATATCCCATATGGTCTCTAAAATTTCATCCTTCATAGAAGAATGATCATGATAAAGGTGCTGTATATAAGCTACAGACAAATGTTGACTATCTTATCTCAAGGGCTAGCAAAACATAAACCTAGCATAAAGAATTCCTTTTGAATATTTTTCCTAATATAGCCATCACTAAATGCCCATAGGTGAATAGCTGCAGATTGCAAGTTAAATATTTTCTTTCTTTCTTTTTTAAGTCACATCTGTAGGGCCCAGAGAGATGCAGAGGATCTGGGTTTAATTCCTAGCCACATGGCAGCTCACAAACATCTGTAACTTCAGTTCCATGGGACCCAACACCCTCTTCTGATGTTCTCAGGCACCAGGAATGCACATGGTGCAGAGATACATGAAGGCAAATATTCATATACACAAATATAAAGTAGATATTTAAAAACTACAAGTTAAATATATAAAATAACCAATGTCTAAAAATCCATTCAAATTTGCCAAGCAAATAGGAATTCACAACTCATAACAAGGAGAAAAAAATCAATCAATAGATACAGATCTAGAAATGCCATAGATTATTATAATTAGCATCTACACATGCCTTTAATACCAGCACTCAGTAGGCAAAGGCAGGTGGATCTCTTAAGTTCGAAGCTAGCCTGGTCTACAGAATAAGTTCCAGGACACACAGAGCTGTTACACAGAGAAACCCTGTCTCCAAAAACAAAAACAACAAATATACTATATATTTATAAATATATTTATTTATACTTAATACATTTATAAATATAAGTGTATATAAATAAGCATGCTCAAGAGAAGCTGGAGAAGAACATAAGCATGACAGAAGTAGAAAATATAAGCCATGAATTATGAGAAATAGTTTAGATACCCAACCCTAGACAAGACATAATGTCTATTCAGGCATAGGAATACTGCATATGGTTACCCCTAAGTGAGAAGTCAGAATACCCCCGTTAAGAGAAAATACATTCCCAATCTTTAGCAAATGACAATAATCTATACTAATGAAGTTTTTCAAGTAAAACTGATTTGATTCCAACAAATATTTCAGGAGATTACAAGGTATTGATACATAGTATGTGAGACCATAGTCATAACTGTAGATTTAAGAAATCATTTCAAGGCTTGGGAGATGGCTCAGAAGATAAAATGTTTGCTGTGTAAACTAATGACAGGAGTTTGGATCCTAGCACCCAACAAAAAGCCAAGTAGATGTTGTGGCCCACCTGTTACCCCAGCACTCAGGATGTGGAAATAGGGGATCCCAAGGCAAGCTAGCTAGCCAGACTACAGTAAATAGAGTGGAGAGTAATTGAGAAAGAACACTTGGCATCAACCTCCCTCTCTCTCTCTCTCCCTCCCTCCCTCCCTCCCTCTCTCTCTCTCTCTCCCTCCCTCCCTCCCTCCCTCCCTCCCTCCCTCCCTCCCTCCCTCCCTCCCTCTCTCTCTCTCTCTCTCTCTCTCTCTCTCTCTCTCTCTCTCTCTCTCTCTCTCTCACACACACACACACACACACACACACACACACACACACACACACACACGAGCACGGGTATGCACACTAGCACTCACATGTTCACACAAGAAAAAAAATCACAGACTTTGAAACTTGCTGTCTCATCCAAATTCTTGCTATAGTCATAAGACCATATATACATACACACAAACATAAATCACACACACCAATGAGGACAAGTAATAGAATTTCATCCTAGAACTGATGAAAGTTCCGTAATGCAGGAAAACAGTCTTACCTATCAAATCCAAATCCTTAAAGCACTCCAGTGGAGCTTCTCTGCAGTTGGTCTTCTGGGCAGAGTGCAGACTCACACATTCCTCTTGAGAAAAATACACGTCCAGGTCTTCAAACAACAGTGGTCCCTGAAACAGGAGAGTCCCGTTAGTACAAGAAGCTAGCAGGTCAGTTCGAGTGTTAATACAGGAAGGCTGAAAAAAACCTAAACCCTTTCACGCATCAAAAAGAACAGGCTTGGTGTAAAATATTCCTCAGCGAGGGGTTCTACGAGTAAGGTCAGAAGGGAAAGCATAAACATAAATTTTGAAACAGTGGTGTGAGAAGAGAGTACACCGCGAGAATGTAGCCTTTCCTGAAAAGATGAGTGAACAATTCTTGGGGAGAGAAATCTTTAGGTAGGGGTGCTCTGACGGGAGGGCAAAAAGGAAAGAAGAAAAAAAGCCTGGCCAGCCCAGAAAGAATCCTGAGACAGTTTCAGGAGTTCCCTACAACCTTTGCAGTCTGTCTGTCTTCCTCATCACCGCGTTTGCTCAGCATCTTCCACCCCTAAGTCTACCGTTCCTATAAACCCACAGACCCTCTGCTGGGATTAAAAAATCACCTGAGCTTTATTACCATTATTCAACAGGTGCGGAGCCTAGAAATCTGCCACTTGGAGAAGCATTCCAGCAAGACACTTTAAGTGATAGAGACCCCTTGCCAAGGGCTCTCCTCCCCATCTGGTAATTCTGAAAAGAGGAAGTTGGTAAGCCTAGGAACGAAGACAGCTTGGTGAAAGGGTTATCTGAGGAGGCACACGCGAGTCAGGACCTGCGTGTCTATCCTCCTGCAAGGAGGTCAGGGCATGTGTAGGAAACAGCGACAGAATTCACCTGGTCATCTGATGTGGCGAGCGTGGACGCCATCTGGGAAAGCAAAGGGGTCCTTCTTCGAGTCCCCGCGATGGGACAACGCTTCGAGTGGAGACAATAGTGTCTAGAATCTCCGACTCGGAGGCCAGGCCTTTCCACTCCCCCTCAGGTTCCCCGAAACCCTCAAGCTCCTTTGAGAATCTGAGGTGACGGCTTCTCTCTCCACAACAGCCTAGAAACGGCCCCACTCACCAGCCCTGGAGCACTGACAGTCTCGCCCTACTCGGCAGAAGCGGCACGAAGCCACGCCCAGCCGAGACGCGACAAAGGAGGCGGAGGCCTCCACAAAACTCCCACGCTCCCATGCTCCCCAGCAGTAGCTGTGGGGAAACCGCCGGAAGCGACGCGCCCTCCGGCCCAACCATCCTGCATTCTGATTGGCCAGAGTGCTCCCAAGGCGGCGGTCCCTCTTCAATGGGCCAATTGAGCAGCTTCCTGAGGACTAGAATCGCACCTAGCAAATGAGAGACGTAGTTATTCCTGAGCTTCTACAAGCGGCTATTTCCGGTTCCGCTGGCTGGGTCTCAGTGGTGAGTGCCCAGCCTGTTGATGGGTCAGGTGCAGCAGCAGGATGGCCTCCGAGGTACCTGATTTCAAAACACAGGCGGGAGCACCCTGGAGTCGGTCATGGAATGCGGGAACACACAGGTGCTGTGTGCCTGAGGTTTTTATCGGACGGGGTGAGGTGAATGAGAGGCCTGGAGTCCCAGGCCGGCTGGGGCCTGCCCTGTGTCTCAGATGGATTGTGGGTCCATGGTATGTAAGAGATTCTCTAGTGCAATAGCAAGTTCAGGCCACGTTAGCCTGGTTGCTCGTGTCCGACCCAAAGTATTCTAGGGGCATGAGGGTCAATGTACACCACAGGTGCAATCCAATACAATGATTGGGACCCATAGCTGATACCGATCTGATTTCCTTCACAGGACATCGGTCGTTTTGTACCTCACACTGGACCTGCACCAATGGCCAATGTCTTGTAACCATCACCGAGTAACGAATTGTAGATTCAAAATCAGAGAGTCGAGCTCTTTCCAGAACTGCCACTTATAGGATAATTATGCCAAAATTTTTCCTATGGTGAACCTATGACTTCACACATAGCACTGTACCACTGAGCTGTACCCAGGCCCCTATCCTTTCTTTTTAAACTTTATTTTAAAACAGGTTGACCCAGGCTAACCTTGAACTCACCCTGAAGCCCAAGCAGGCCTTGCACTTAGACTCCTCTTGGCTCAGTACCCCTAGTAGCTGTCACCCACCAAGACTGAACAGCTTTTAACTTTGATTTCCTCAGCTGCAAAGAGCCCATAATGCTTCGCTTTGATAATTTAAAATATAAGGTGTTAAAAGAATTGCCAGTTTGAAGGAGTTCTGGGGAGGAGGGTGACAAAAAGGATTAGTACTTTGAAAATTCTGAATAAATCCCAATTCTCTTTTTTTTTTTAGAGATAGGGTCTTACTCTACGGCCTTGGCTACTCTGAAACTTGCTATGTAGACCAGGCTGGTCTCCAATAGAGAGAGATCTGCCTCTGCCTCCCAAATTGCTGGGATTAAAGGAGTGCACCACCATGCCCAGTGCCAACATAGTTTCTTTTTTAGGTTTCCTGAGGCAGGGTTCCTCTGTGTAATAGACCAGGCTGGCCTCAAACTCATAGAGATCCACCTGCCTCTGCCTCCCAAGTGCTGGGATTAAAGGCACAGAGCCATCACCTCGTGGCAGCCAACATAATTTCATTTAGCATGCTGATAATGGCAATGGAATATAGATAATACATTCTATATTCTTTTGTCATGTACCCATCCCAAGTTTATCAAGAATAAAGATTCATTAGGGCTTGGTCTAACAGGTTTCAGTGCAGTGCTCTGAAGGATCTAACGTGCTTTGGGAAAAGAAAAAAATGGAAGTAGAAAACCTTACAAATCACTAACATTTATTACAAGGGTCAACTACTTACTGACAGCCAAGCTGTCTGGAAATGAATCAGTAAAGAGGCTACCTGAGGGCTCCAGGATAAAAGAGAAAAATGTTTTAGTGACAGGCAAAAGAATAAGAACAAACTTCCCTACAGACCATTTCAAAAGACATATATTGAAGAAGAGCAGTATGTTCAGCATGTCTTGATGCAACTCATGTGACCATCTTTCTCCTCTTGGTTTTTTTTGTTTGTTTGTTTGTTTGTTTTTGTTTTTGGTTTTTTGAGATAGGGTTTCTCTGTATTGTTTTGGAGGCTGTCCTGGAACTCGCTCTGTAGACCAACGCCCGGCTTCTCCTCTTGTTTTGTGCTTGCCAATTTTTTTTTAAATGGATGTCTCATTTGGGCTAAGAATCTCTTGATATAGAGCCATGGTTCTTTACATTGAACCTTTTTTCAATTATTACAAAGATATAGAGGCAGGCGAATCTCTGTGAGTTGGAGACCAGCCTGGTCTACAAGAGCTAGTTCCAGGACAGCCTCCAAAGCCACAGAGAAACCCTGTCTTCAAAAAAACCACAACAACAACAACAAAAAAGATATAAGCAAGTTCCAATAACCAGGAACTTAGTAATAACTTAGTGTCTAACCAGAGAAAAGGTCAGCCCTGAAATGGGTGAGTCAAAATTATCCTCAGCCTTGCTGGGTGGTGGTGTCACACACCTTTAATTCCAGCACTTCGGAAGCAGAGGCAGGCAGAACTCTGTGAGTCTGAGGCCAGCCTGGTCTAGAGTTCCAGGACAGCCAGGGCTACACAGAGAAACCCTGTCTCAAAAAAAACACAAACATTTTTTTCCCTCTCAGCCACTGTAGGTGTTAAGTATCAAGCAAACCAATGGCCCATGAAACATGAAAGCTTGGAACTTGCTTAAAGAGCTGATAAAAAGTCTAAGGTAAACAAAGATGGGAGTAAGTTAGTAGAGTACTTGCCTAGCATATTTTGGGCCTCAGCAACACAAACATACACACACACACACACACACACACACACACACACACACACACACACACACACACTGATGTGCATGTCCTTTACTAACTGAAGCATTACAAAATGAGGAGGAGCCAGAAAAATCAGGAGTTCAAGGTCACCCTCAGTTCCTAGCTTGAGGACAGCCTGGGTTATATGAGATCTGCCTCAAAAACAAAACAAGCATACTTCTTGATACTTTTCACCATTACCTGACATTTGTAGTATTAGTTACTACTATTGCTTGTCTTGCTTTTTACTACCACCATTTTTTGCCTCGTTTGTGTTAACTGAATATATTAATTATTCTTTCCCCATTATGAATTGTTGTTTCCTTCATAAACTTTGTCCTGGCTACCTAATATATATACTTTTAACTAAAAGTGAATCCAGATCCACTTCCCATAACACTGTATTACTCTTGAGATGCCCAATACATTGTAATAGGAAAATACTCCTGTTTTGCTGAGTTTTTTTTTATTATAAATAGATGTTGAATTTTTCTCTATTAGTGATTGTATTGTTTATTGTATTAAGTAACTGTGACATGAAATGTTAACCCAAGTTTATAATTCCTGAAACAAAACAAATAAAAAACTCTTAAACATCCTTCCAAGTACACATATGTATATATACACTCACACAGACACACAAAATCTGAAAGAGTCCCGTCATTTGCAAGATTTTCTATTTTCACCTTTTTTTTTTTTTTTGGTTTTTCGAGACAGGGTTTCTCTGTATTGTTTTGGAGGCTGTCTTGGAACTCGCTCTGTAGACCAGGCTGGCCTTGAACTCACAGAGATCCACCTGCCTCTGCCTCTGCCTCCCGAGTGCTGGGATTAAAGGCGTGCACCACCGACGGCCGGCTTTCTATTTTCACCTTTAATGGTAATATCAATGGCAAAAGTAAAATATATATGAATAGAAGTTTTCTCTCTAGCCAAGTGTCTTCTTTCTGAAGATATTAAGATTACATCTTACTTAATTAAAAATAACAACACTGGTGTTGTCTGGCATGGCGGTACAGGCCTCTAATGGAGCACTCAGGAGGCAGAGGCAGGCAGATCTCTGTGAATTTGAGGCCAACCCAGTTTTTAATACTGAGTTCCAGGCCAGCCAGTGCTGCATACTGAAACCTATCAGAAAAGAGATGAGAGACTGGTATGGTGGTAAATACCTATTACCCTAGCACTCACAAGTTTGAGGCAGCAGAATGAGTTCGAGGCAAGCTGAATACATAGCAAGAGTCAATCTCTCTCTCTCTCTCTCT